CTGTGGTGTAAGTGGGACCTTTTGAGTGTTTGGATCCATGGAGTGGCACTGGTGTGTCTCACGGCCGGCAGAATAGTGACACGCCACGACATTTGACCGCGCCGTGCTAATTTAAGAGCGAGCACCGGCTGCCGTGCCAAGGTGGCAAGACCTTGGCTTGACAGCAGCGTACTTCAAGAGCCAGCCCCTAATCCTGCATAGCAATGGCTTATCAAAGGTCTTTTGATGCGCCAACCAACTCATCAAGATGAGGACACGAACTCTGTCGCTAACGAGTCATAGTAAAGTGACGTGCACTCGTGAACGGAGAACGTCTGAGGGGTGCGTAGCCCTTTGACCCGAGTTGTAAACATGTTGTTTGGTAATGCTGAGGTACTAAAATATGATATGAAAATAAAAAGGTATGGAAGGTGGTGGATGAGAAGCTCAACGTTGAGTTGGCAATGTGCACTGGCAGCCCAGAAAGCCAGCCATGTCCTGGGCGGCATCAGAAGAAGCGTGGCCAGCAGGTCGAGGGAGGTGATTCTGCCCCTTTGCTCTGGTGCCACCCCACTGGAGTACTGCATCCAGCTCTAGGGCCCCCAACAGAAGAAGGATATGGACCTGTTGGAACAGGTCAGAGGAGGGACATGAAGATGAGCAGAGGGCTGGAGAACCTCTGCTGTGAGGACAGGCTGAGGGAGTTGAGGTTGTTCAGCCTGGAGAAGAGAAGGCTCCAGGGAGACCTTAGAGCCCCTTCCAGTCCCTAAAGGGGGCTACAGGAGAGATGGGGGGGACTCTTGATCAGGGAGTGTAGTGATAGGATGAGGAAGAACAGTTTTAAACTGAAAGAGGGGAGATTTGGATCAGATCTCAGGAAGAAATTCTTTCCTGTGAGGGTGGTGAGGCACTGGAACAGGTTGCCCAGAGAGGCTGTGGCTGCACCATCCCTGGAGGGGTTCAAGGCCAGGCTGGATGGGGCTTTCAGCAACCTGGTCTGGTGGGAGGTGTCCCTGCCCAGGGCAGGGGGTTGGAACTGGGTGATCTTTAGGGTTCCTTCCAACCCAAACCATTCTGTGAAGAAAGGAAACAGCTCTCAGCAATTCTAGTAAAACCAGGGAGGTTTTTTTTATCTTTGAGTCCATATTGCAGATCACGGAGAGCAGGGCGCAGTGGGACCCAGCGCACAGGGCGCGGTGCTGTTCCTCACTCCTGACAGAGGATGCGTGGGCTGCCTGATACCCCGGCACAGACAACGACATCTGCTACACAATAGAACTTCCAGAATATTGCTTTCACCGTTTTACGTTAAGGCATTAGAAAAGAACCATCGAGTTTGGCCAAAATACACTCTTTTTACATCAGTACAAACTAAGAGGAGTTGTTAAGGGAACTCCCAAGTTTAAAGAGAAGGGTAATGCATTTTTAAGGTCCTCTAATGCTTATGGGAACCTACTGCTAGGCATTTGGAGCAGTTTAAAAGCTAATATAATTTCCTGGGTTGCTGTTTATCTACCACCTGTTCCTAAAATGGAACGCTTGTTATAGTAAATGGGTAAAGGTGGTTTGCAAAACGAGGCATAGAGAGGAAGAAATAAGACTGATGAATAATTAGATTCACAAAGCCAAACCAGCCAATGTAGGTATTTTGTCTGACCCTGCTTAAAACAGGAGGCGGAATTTTCTCTTTTCCAGCTTTGTAAGTTCTTTTCCTTTTAAGAAGCATCCAGTCTCAGTTTGCGACGTCTGTGATTTACACTGCCTGTAATTTTTATTTGTGTCTACCTATTTATTTCTAGTTATCCTTTGGAGCCGTTGGAAGCATTGGCTGACAGGTAAGCATTTATCAAAACTCTCTTGCAGCCAGACCGGAAACAAAAATCTTAAAATCTGTCGTTGCTTACTGGAATGTTTAAATTCTAAATCTATATATTTTGGTAGGCAACGTCTGTTCGTAGTTCAGGTCTGAATTTAATGAAATTGTTTTCAGTGCAAAAGAAATTTTATGCTGATTTTTACAAAGGGATCGGGGTGATCCAGAGGGCCTGGAGATCCAGAGGTGATCCAGTGAACCTGAGGAAGGTCCTGACAATTCAGAGTATTTATAAGTAGTCGGAGGAAGGGAGATGCTGTGTTCTTGTTCAAAGCCAAATCTAAAACCCAACTGGGAAGAGCCACAGCTGTGTGTTTTCTGCGCTCCCACTGTCCCAAACAGGCACTAAATGGGCAGTGTCAGTACGTACACGGTAACACGTGTGGGGGAAAAATACCCTGGGTTATACACACCGAGTGCTGGGTGCTTTAGCAGTCACGGGTGTTAGGCAGAGTTAATAGGGAATGATTATTCATTCTCTTTTATAAAACCAGACATAGGAGACACCTAATGAAATTAACAGCTGGCAAACTGAAAACAAACCTGAAGAAGCCTCTTTTTTAAAAAAAAATAATGTGAAGTTGTAGACCTCGCTAGCCAAAATGAGAAATGAAACGTTACCAGTTTTGAGAAGGGGACTGGACAAATCAATGAGGAGTGGGCCTGCTGACAACTAGTAATCATTAAGATCCAGATGGAAATTTCAGCTCAGAAAATTTCTGAGTGCTAGAATTCTAAAAGCAATGAAGGTGAACTGTGACCAGGATCCTTCTGTATCTGCCCTGACTTTCTCACAGGTAGAAATAGAACATTAGGAGAGACAGACTCAGCAAGCACAGTCCAGTCCATTTTGCTCTTTAAGTTTGATTACTGGAAATGGAAACAATTGGAAAAAAAAAAGAAATGCATTTTTCCTTTGTTCTGTAAGTGACAAAGCTATCAACTGGGCAATTTGCAATATTCACACAGGCACAGGAGAGGCAAAGTAGCAAGGAAAAGGCTGTCTTTTTATTCTCTGCTTTCTTTCACCAACACATTATCAAAGATAAACCAAAATCATCGTATTTCACCATTACTGTTAGTGGCTTGGGACTTGTTTGGGTTGCTTTTTCCTATTGAGAAGCTGCATAATGTAACACATGGTCTCATTGCCGAACCTGGGAAATCAACAGCATTAATTTTCATGAATGCTCAGTGCCAGCAGCTTTGCCAGATCAGGTCTCAGCCTTTCTTCCACTTCAGAATCATCAGTGGATCTTCCTCAAGTCTTACTGCTACGAAGCTAATGAAACACCCAGGATCATTCTACTGGGTAACAAGTCAACAGACTGGCAGAGGAACCGGTTCCCTCCCTGTAGGATGACGAGGTGCGTTGATACAGACAAAACAGGATTATTTTGCCTTTATAACTTCAAATAGGAAATAACTGATCAGTAACAGATGTCGCTAAGGGTGAGGCTTGCCAGGCAATTAAGAGGTGTCACCACCTGAGGCTGACTCAGAGAGCTGTGACAGAAGATTTCTACCCTTGCCCTGGAGTGGGGTGATGGTGGCATGTGTCAAATGTAATCAGCCCTCAGGGAAAGCGCCCTTAAATTTACCTTTTAGTGACAGCACCAGCAGCACCTGCTGCTGACTTTAAAATCTGCTTCATATTCTGAGATCAGCATTTCTGAGCACTCCTTCTTGACAAGAAAAACAGTGCTTTTAACTTTTTTTTTTTTTTCCTTTGGATTTCATCCAGTTCTCAGATTCACACTTATCCTATGCTGTCTTAATGAAGAGTGTGTGATCTGCTGCCCTCTCTGCTGACAGGGCTCCGTATTCCCCAGAGAGCTTTGGGGATGTCAGTGTATATCTAATGAATATTTACAAAGAAGTTTCCTTAGAGAGAAAGAAAAGACCATGCGTTTTCACTGTTTGGTGGAAAATTGTCTGCTGAGCATCTTTAAGCATCCATTTCAAGTACATGCAGAAAAAGCCAAAGTAGAAAACTTCACAGCTAAAGAAATTGTGGCAGGAGCCAGACTTTGCAGCTCCAAAGGGATTTTTGTGAATTACTGTGTATTACAATCATAGCTTCCACTCTACAGACCACAAGGCTGGGATGATCTGCTCTACAGAAAAAAAATAATCATCTGAACTTGTATTAAATCAGCGTGGTTGTAGCTGCAAACCGGTGGCAGTTCAGCAGCCAGTGGAAGGGTAGTTTGGGTATTCATTGATGGAAAAATCACTCCTGTACTTGGTTTTGTCTGGAATCCTAGCACATGTGAAGGTGAAGGTTTCAATTCGGAAATATCTCTGGAAGAAATACAACTGTCCTGGCCGATTATGTTCTTCAAATGACACAAAACATTGTGCCAGAAACACCAACACTGGTTTTAAAGGTCATTTGCCCTGACAAAAACAATGTATTTTCAAAAAATACATAGTAACCAGACCAACTGCTACTTGGAATTGACCCTGGCTCTTTTTAATCAGTGAAACCATACCTAGGCTGCTCTTGACAGTTAAGGTAAAGAAAATTAATTGTAGTAATTCTCTGTCACATAATAACAGCAGAAAGTCTCAGGGAGCCTGGTGATTGAACTGAAACCCAGAGTAAGTCCCTGAAACCCCACTGGGCGCCATCACTGCTGACCCCCCTCTTGTGAGAGCCCTTGGCCTGAGGGACGTCCTCCAACCTCCCTGTTCTTTTTTTTAAAAAAGTGAATTCTTGCACTTGCTCGTGTTTTTGTTGCTCCTACAGCATTGAGGCAGCTAAGACATATTAGTTTCAGGAAGAACTACCCGAGCCTGAACACCGGGGTAACCAGCCCTCAGGACCATCAGAAAGGAAGACGAATGGGAAAAGGCGGACAGGGAAAGAGGGTTTATTGACAAACTCGAGTTCCAAAACCTCGCTTGGCTTTTCCCTGCCGGGTTCTGAGGAACCAAGGCCCGGAGGGGACCGACCGCCTCCAGCCGCCTGAGGAGCGGCGGGGCCGGGCGGGCACCGCAAACCCCGCGGGGCGGGCAGGGTCTCCCTCAGACGAAGAGACCGGTTCCTTGCGACGACAACTGAGGGGGTTTCGGCTCAGAAACACCTCAGGGTGAGGAGAGGAGGGGAGTGGGCGGGTTGGCTGGGGCCGGGCCTGAGGCGCCGCCGCCATGTCCGGCCCGCCCCGCCCATCGCCTCACGTCTCTTCCCCGGGCGGGCGGGAGTCAGAGGCGGCGCCGGGCCCGCCATGCCGAAGCGCTCCTGCCCCTTCGGGGATGCGGCCCCGCTCCATCTGAAAACCCGCGTAGGGCTGCGGGAGCTGAGCCGCGGCGTGCGGGGCGAGGAGTACCGCCGGGAGATCTTCGGTGAGGGGGCGGAGGGTGTGGGGGAGGCGTGAGGGGAGGGGGAAGCGCTGCCGCCGCCGCCGCGCCTCCCCCCGGCCTGTTCCCCCGCAGCCGCCTCTGCCTTCCTACGGCCGCCCCGGGCCTGGCGGCGGCGGGTGAGAGGTTTGGGGGGAAAAGCCGCCCTTAACTCTCCTCTCCCCCCGGCAGAGAGGACCCGGCGGCTGCTCTTCAGGGGAGCCCAGGCGTACATGGAGGGCGCCTGGCCCGCCAGCCCCGCCGCCACCTGCGCCGTCAGCCGCTCGCCGGAGCCCGGCGGGGAGGCCCAGGAGAGCGGCGCCGGTCGCCGCTGGAGCGAGCAGCTGCTCATCGGGCAGGACGGGAAGCTCCTGAGGCGGCCCCTCGCCGGCGGGAAGGGTGAGTGGCCCCGCCGGGGTCCGGCTGAGGCGGGCGGTGGGCGCTGACCGGCCCCATGGCACATTTTGGGGGGGGGAAGGTGTGTGTGTCTCCCTCCGTAGTTTATCTTTATTTTCCTTCTTTTTTTAAAGGCAGTGTTAGATTTGAGCTTCACTGCGGGGTTTTTGACAGGTTGAGAGAGCTGGGGTTGTTCAGCCTGGAGAAGAGAAGGCTCCGGGGGGACCTTATAGCGGCCTTTCAGTATCTGAGGGGAGCTACAGGAGAGATGGGGAGGGACTCTTTGTCAGGGACTGATGTGACAGGACACGGGGTAACGGTTTTAAATTGGAAGAGGGGAGATTTAGATCAGATCTCAGGAATAAAATCTTTCCTGTGAGGGAGGAGAGGCACTGGAACAGGTTGCCCAGAGATGTGACAGGACACGGGGTAACGGTTTTAAATTGGAAGAGGGGAGATGTAGATCAGATCTCAGGAATAAAATCTTTCCTGTGAGGGAGGAGAGGCACTGGAACAGGTTGCCCAGAGAAGCTGTGGCTGCCCCATCCCTGGAGGTGTTCAAGGCCAGGCTGGATGGGGCTTTGAGCAACCTGGTCTGGTGGGAGGTGTCCCTGCCCAGGGCAGGGGGGTTGGAACTCAATGATCTTTAAGATCCCTTCCAACTCTAACCATTCTATGAATTGACAAGCTGTCATGTGCTTGGTGCTCTCTTAGTGGTCTTGCCACTGAATGGGATAAAGAACCAGCACACCTGTAAGCAGCTCTGCCAGCCAGTTGTGCTGCTGCCTGTAGCTGTAATGCCGGGTGGGGGGTACCACGCTGGGTGTTTCTCAGAGCTTCCAGGTGCTTTCTCTGTCGGTTTGTTGTGTTTGGTTTTTTTTTTGCTGTAAAGTGCCTTTCTTCTTAATTGCCTCTTTTCCTAGCAGCTCCACCCGTGGGAGTCTCCAAGGCCTGCTCCTCCTGTGTCAGAACCGCCGACGTGAAGGAAGCGTGTACACAGTGCGAGCGGTTTGTCTGTCAGAACTGCAGCAGGCTCTGCAGCTGCTGTAACACAGCTACCTGCTCCCTCTGCTCCACCGTCGAGTAAGTGCCTCTTGTATTTTTAATTATATATGCCCTGATAAGAAGATGGGAAAGGAAGCTGTGGCTGCCCCATCCCTGGAGGTGTCCAAGACCAGGCAGGATGGGGCTTGGAGCAACCTGGTCTGGTGGGAGGTGTCCCTGCCCATGGTAGGGGGGTTGGAACTTGATGATCTTTAAGGTCCCTCCCAACCCAAACTATTCTATGATTCTGAGACACAACAGATATTTAGCTCATGCACATGAAGGACTTGAGTTCTTCTCATGTTGCTTTAGCAGCAATAAAGTTGCCTGAAACATGGAAAATAAAATGCCTGTGCAATGTAGTCTAATTGGTCTTAGTGCAAATTTAGTTTAGCTTCTCGTTTAAATGTTCTAGGAGGCAAAAATTCCTTTTATTTTCCCGCCAGCAATATAGTATGGTGGCCACTGATAAACAAATACACTCTCAAGGAGTAATCTTAAGTTTTTGCCATCATTGTTAACAGTTCTGTGATACAAAGAGTGTGCTGTGTAGGAGTCCCGTGGTTACAGTTGATAATGGCATTCTTTGGAACGTTTATTTAGGATGACATTCTTTGTTATGTTCCAGAGACAGCAGACACACTGACTTTGTTTCTTTTGGTTTTCTCTTTTTTCCCCTAGTTATGGTGATATGGGAGAGCAAGTTCTCTGCAATGGTTGTTCCATATTTCAAGTCTGAAACTTGATGAAATAGCCTTTATGGCTAAGATGTCCATAACTTTCATGAAGTCTCCTCCTTACTGCTGGTCAATTAATCCTTTTAGCATGTGAATTAATTTTGGAATTTCTATGTTTTATATCTTTATATTGTACTTTTTAATATTGTAGCTAAATAAACTTTTATATTTTGAGGATTCCTAGATTATTTTGAGTCAATTTTCTCCTTTTCCATAGTTGTGATATGCCTATCTGGAAGTGGCCACTTCATACTCTTACGTGGTGTTCCTTCTGTGATACAGAATTCAGAATTCTTTTTACTTATGTTAGGATGCATTTTTGTGGGATCAGAATCAGTTGCTCCTTTTGTGCTTCCAGGTGAGTGTCAATCTATTCTGGACACACAACAATTTCTTTGTGAGCTAACTAGGAAAATTAGCCAGGCCTGAAGGCTTTTGTAAATAGACAGTTTGCTGATTTCTGTGTGGGGTTGTTTTTTTTTTTTTTAAATTGTCACAAACACCTTAGGATTACTGACACTTACAAATAAAAATATCAGACTTTTCATCTTGCAAACCAACCATACGTAAGACAAAACTAGGGTGGTCTTCAATGAAAGGAAAATTATGATCTAAGGGGCTGATTTCAGACTGTAGGAGGAAAAAAGGAACAGATTTGAGAGGGGAAAAAAGAGAAATTCTCGTGGCATTCATAGCTAATGTTCTGTTTCCCAAATTATTTGCCCTGAACTCCCAAAGGAGTCTGCCACTTGCGCTTCCCAGTCTTCTCAACTGTAATTAGTATGTTTTGCATTGAGTAACTTTTTTGGTTTTTACCTCTTCCCCTCCCCTCTAGCCATTTCTCTTTGAAGAAATTGAAAGGCCATCGCAATGAAAGCTGAGAGACTTAGGTCTCATGTGGGGACATCTTTGTTTGACGTGCTGTTGAAAGCACACGAGATATTCTTACACTTCAGAGTGCTGCAACTAAGCAAACAGAACAGTAAATGCTTTAGCACAGGGTGGGGTGATAGATATTGCTGAACAGGGATGGGTCAGCCACAGTGAGGTGCAAGCTGACGTTCTTTCCAACCCCAGTGCAATACCTTGTATAACTCTGAGAGACACTTTAAAAGCATTTCTGACGTTTAGGGTGTCTGGGCAAGGGGTCACTTCAGCCATCTGTGTGCAAGCATTGTCCGGCTGATGGATCTGGTTTGTTTCCCTCTGTAGCCAGTTAAAATGGGGGAGTTTACTAGTTCTTACTTTAGCCTTCATTTTGAACAACTGTAAAAATGTGTCTGTCCTCAAACCAAACAGGAACCAGTCAGAAGTCTACATCAGGCGAGCCAGTAGTAAAAGTATTAGCCAGTGTGTGCAGTAATTCCCCAGAATGATCCATCTCTTCAAAACTGCAATAGATTAAGTCAGAATGATGGCAGATCCCTGGTGCAGTTCCCAGCTGCCAGGTGTCATAGGGCAGATAAAAATGTTATTTCTGTGGTAATCGTCTTACAACACAAAGCTGAGTTTCATGAATGGGAAGAATCTGTGGGTTACTGCGTTTAAATGTTAGTTTTAGGAAAGAATTTTCAAACTTGGCTTTGTTTTATGTGAAGCTCTAGGCAGTGAACAAAAATGTTTTTCAGTCAAGCATATTTTCCAAACGAAAACCTTTCAGTGTGTATCTGCTTTTTCTCATTCTCTCCTGAGGGTGAGAGACTGAAAATACTTTTTTCTTCTAGGCTCCAGGAGAGATGAGACATGTTGTTTACAAATTATTTATGTTTCCGAGTAGCTATGTTTTTTTGGCTCATTTAGTCACTGCTGTATCTCATAGAAAGCTGTCCTGCGTAAACAATGGCATGGATTTCAGGGCTTGAAGTTCTTTTTTGTTATCCTCTGGCCTGCCCCTTGAAAGCTGGGTGTTTGTTAGGACAGATAACCCAGTGAGGAGTGAAGAGCTGGGAGGAGAAAAAAGAAAGAGGGCTGGAAGAGAATGGTTAGAGGCTGGGAGGAGCACAGAACAGAGTGTGAACTCTTGCACTGGGGTGGTGCATCATGCATCTAAGAAATGGGTTTTTTTTAGTGGTTACCAGCTCTTTTGCTTCTCTGGCTTCAGAAGGTGTGGAAAAACGGCTTCTCGTGTTCTTTTATCTCCCAAAAGACTCAAATCTCATTATTGAGGAAAGTGCCTGCTCTGTGCCTGAAGCTCTTAGATGAACAATGGGAGGTAGGACTGGGGACTGGTTTTAAATCTTTACATTGACTGCAGAAAAAAAAAAAACAGGAGAAGGGAAGAATCTTTGGGTGAGAGGTTCCAAGATTATTCTCTTTGTCTAATTAACTCCTACTCACACGGTCTTGTCTGTTGCCACTGGTTATAGATCTGTACATTGGATACTCCTAGGACTGTGTAGGAGAGCCAGAGAAATTGTCAGGTTTATTAATTGAGCAGGATTGGTCTTTTTTTTATACTGTGTTTTGTTGTTATTGTATGTTCTTCCCCTCCTATTCAGTGCAAAGTGTGTAAAAAATCAAATTTTGCCTGGTGTTCAGATGGGTGAAAATATCCTACAGTAATGATTTTCTAAAAATCAAAGTTTGCCTGGTGTTGAGGGAAGGAGAGGAGCCAGAATATTGATGGGTGAAAATATCCTACAGTAATGATTTTACAGGTGGATGAGAAACTTCTTCTGAGGCCTGTATATCGCTGCTGGTGAAATCAGTCTCAAAGGGCACAGTTTTATGTCTAAAAGGAAGTCAACTGATCTGATCAGGATAAACAATTTCTTTTAAGCCTAATATGTGAGTAAATGCTAGAAATGTATGGTTTCAGATACCAGATAGATTGTCCTTAGAAGACTAAGGTGGTAAATGACTTTAGCAGTCACCAGTATCTACAATCTGCACTAGAACAAAAGTACATGGTATTATGAAGAATTTCAGCAAGACAATCAAACACACTTGAGTGATCCCCTTCAGTAGCATTGATGTGTCACGTGCATCCCTCAGTGTTGTGTGCTGTGCTCGTGGTGGGCAGGTCAGATGTGGTGGTTACACAAATAACCTTAGCCCTGTGTACACCCAGTAACTGTTTCTGTTTTGCAGACAGGAAGCCTGTTTGTTTTACGAGAGAAACATGAGCCATTTCACAACTAATAATTAAAAAAATATATATAAAATCTTAGATGAGGACACAAATACAACCAGTGGCATTGTATGACTGGTAGGTCTTTTGTTTAATACAGCCAACACCCAACCTTCTTCCCCTCCTTTCATTTTAGTGTCATACCCATTTAGACCCTGATCTGTAGCCAACCCGTAGCCTTTTTCTTTTTCTTCTTTCTGGACAGTTGATGACAAGATGCAGTTGTATTTTATCTCAGGACAGGGCACAAAAATGAAGTTACTTAGGTGTTAAGTGAAAGATTGTCCTTTTTTTTTTTCCTTTATGAATATGGGTAAGACATTTATGCTACATTTGCTACCCTGGGCTGGGAGATACAAAGAAGTAGCAGCAATCTACAAATGGTTTAACTCTTTGGAATCTTTTCTGAAGAGGTGCCACCAAGAAGTAGAAATGGAAACTGTATCTTCGTCCCTAGGTTTGTTAGGTCTGATTCTTTTGAAAACACCCAAGTATCACCTCTAGGTGAATTGGTCAGACAGCAGCAGATGCAAATCATACATACTTCTCTCTTTCACTGTGCAATTAGTAGCTACATGATGGTTTTGTGTTTTGACAAGGTTAGACTGGATTAAAAAAATTGAATCCTAGCAAAAATTAACTAATATTAAAATCCCACCTATGCTGTATGTGTACAAAGTTACATATAGTGCTCCTCTGTAACTTTCAGTTAGTTGTAATACTGTTTCATCATGGCAAATGATGCAACTATTAGCTATTTCAATTTGACATTTTTGATATGCATCAAAAGAAGCATGGCCAGGAGGTCGAGGGAGGTGATCCTGCCCCTCTACTCCTCTCTGGTGTGGGGTTGTTCAGCCTGGAGAAGGCTGCAGTAGGATGAAAGTGATCAAATTATTATAAAAATATTCTGTAATATTTTAATGACTATCACAGTTCATACATCACTTTTTTATCTTTTTCTTTTGTGTGGCTTCTTTATTTCTAAAGGTATTGAAATATCATACTTGGTGTAGTTGATTGCATTTTGAACTGCTACCATTGTAATACAAGTTTTAATGATATTTGCTAGTGTTGTGTATTCTGGGCTTTTGGTGTTTTGTTTTTTCCCTTAAGGAAAAGCCTCAGCTGGAATCAAATTATTACAGCTTACACTTTTATTACAAGTTTTTAGTTCTCAGGGATGTGATTTCCATTAAAACCAAATGATAGACACTTTATTACTTATCTCTTGCAGAAGTTGTTATTGCTTAAACATTTTGCGGTTGCAGGTTTTCCTTTAAACTTTAGGATTTATTTAATTGTTGGTTGTTTTTTTTTTTACATTGTTTCTTACATAGTTGAAAACACGATCCCCTTCTCTTTTGTTCCGTTGTCATTTACTCTTTAAGATATAGATGTTTTTCTGTTTCTTCTTTCCCTGACAAGCACTGTTGTAGGTAGTGGGGCCAGATGTCCACTTGCTAATGTCAAAATCAGCAGCGTTTCACCAGGGACTGTCTTGGTCTTTTCTAAATACCTGTGCTCTTAAACTGGCACCGACCTTCCGAAAACCACCAGTGGCTCCTTGTGCAGAAATTTGCTTTAATCAAGTTAGAGACTTAAGACAAAACACCTACTCCCCCTACCTTTCCAGCAGAAGTTTCGTGCTGTAGCCACAGGGTGGCATCCCTTTGTTAGTTTTGTGGAGATGATTGTTACTCAAGTTCTTATTTTCTCTCAACTTCTCCCAGCTTGATTGATACTGTTATAATTTGGTGGCATCCCTTTGTTAGTTTTGTGCAGATTGTTACTCAAGTTCTTCCTTTTCTCTCAAGTTCTCCCAGCTTGATTGATACTGTTATAATTAGAGTGCTAGTTTGGGGGGGTGGAGGGGGTCTTTTAAAATATCCCCCTCATAAATCTATAGGTCCCAAGCAAATGTTTCCAAAGCAGAATTTTTTTAATCCAAAATAATTTGTGTCATTCATAAAATATAGCCTGAAATGCAAAATGGACCATTTTGCTGTGTAGAAAGACAAAAGCAAAATGTAAACCATGTGCATGGACGTAAAT